GTTCGGAATTCTCATAAATTCGTAGAAGAGTCGTCATTATATTGTAGAAAGTTTTTTGCCAGCTGCTTTAAATACGAACCTAATAAACAAAATTCCTCTTTTTACACATTTTTTAACCAGACATTTCTTTTTTTTAATGTTACAAATGCTTTCTATCACCTCATCCTCACCTTCTGAGCTCAGGAGAAATGTAAACACTTCTCTTTTCTCCATATAGCACAGCTTAGGTGAAAACTTACGGTTTATTGAATGTTAATATTTATAAACAGAACAACATAAAGTTTATTCGACATCCTTTTTGTCATAAACAGTGTAAATAATCCCAAACTGAAATCTGGATCGATTGATAAATGTTTCCCTCTAGTGGACAAAGGCAGCATTACAACACTAGAGAATTTCTTATCCTTAGTTGGTTGGAACACATTTAATTCCGTAAAAATTCAAAACCTGGATGACCTGGATGACTGAGAACCTTCATCAGCATAACACATTTAATGTAATAAACCATGAATCAACAGTTAACCGTTAGCCTGTTATTTGTTTACATTCCTTCTTTCAACGCTTTGCTTTTCAGGCTCCCATCAACTTCAGCAACAGTGAGTTCTACGGTTTCTCTGAGTTCTTCTACTGCATGGAGGACGTGCTGAGGATAGGAGGACAATACAACAGCGACAAATACACACAAGCTGCCAAGGTACTAGAAGGCATTGTCAGTCTAAATAAATGTTCAGTAAACTCGATAATTGAGCTAAATATTTTTGTTTTTTTTCATCTTTTGGAACCAGGACTACTGTGCTACCAAATGGTCGACCCTGAAGCAGCGTCTGGACAATCAGCTTTTCTCTCAGCAGGCTGACATCAACAGACTCAAGTAAGCTCAGCCACCCTGAACGGAACCCGGTCACGATTGGGGCTCGGTCTTCTTCAACTGATTCTGTAGTTCATCCTCTGGGGAAACATTAGCTTGAAATTCTATTAGGAAAACTGTTCCCAAACAATTGGATTAAAAATAAAACATACATGGGTTTCTTTTTCGTTATGTTGGATTTAAACTAACAGCATCATGATGGGATGCTACATTATTGCTGGAAATGCAAATGATCTGATGGCTGAATTCAAGGGGGAAAGTCTAAGTTAGAAGCAGTCAGCCATCTCCCCAAAGTTCATTGCTGCAGCTCTGAATGCTACTTGGTAGTTAGCATGGCCTCCTCAGGCTCCTAATGGGGCCACTGGTTTGGTTCACGGGATCTCTTAGTGTTTCAACGCAGGACCAGATGGTGTTGCTGCTGTCATGGTGGAGGTCTTTTATTGTCATTTGAATGTGTACAGAACGGAATTTCATTTTGTACAGCTTTCATTACATTTCCATTCCTTAAAGTGCAGCAGTGATCAAATGTAAGCAGTGCACCAGTTACCCTAAAGCAGGGACAGGGGGCCGCCATTTTCACTATTGTTTAATTTACACTTTAAGGGTTGGTTTGGGTTTTTGAACATAAAGATGGTTGAAATGAACTCTGAGCAGGAGGGTCAGTGACAGCATTGACACTGTTACATCTCAGCTACTGACTGTAAACTTTTCATGCAACTTCATGTCCAAAAACCTGAACTATCCCTTTAAGGAATTTCCAATTTCTCCTCTTATATGAGCCTCTTTCTGTATAAATGACTCCTGAGGCTGTTTTTTAGATGTTTAACCTCTTACACCCTAAGGGGGTATAAATACATTTCTGCCTGACAAAAACACACAAAAG